TTTTTCTATATTTATTCCACTTATGGGAATCCCCTTTTCTCTGCATAAAAACTTCCTCCTCATTGATTTATTGTATCCTTAGGGCCTGAGTTAGAAATTATAACATTAATAGGAGATATTTGTTCTAATATTTCCTGATACCCTGTAGTGGTTGCTAAGTTATACAGCTATTTCAAAATACAGATTCATAAATGCCTTTAAAATATTCTCTGCAGCTGGAATCTTTTGCAATAGTTTATGTTGCAGAGTGTGCATACCATCTTGGGAATAAGTCCCATTGGACTCAGTGGGAACATCTACAGAGTAGATATTATTGAATTGCACCTTAAGTCCCTAAATTGAAATTCATTTCAAAGAGAGCTGGGAGGTCCCAGTCCTGAGCGGTTGCCTAGGAACCTCTGTCTAAAAAGTTTAGGTCACAAAAATGACATTTGCTGATGAATTTTGCCATTTGTTTCAGGGCAACTGATGATATAGAGGTGTAGGGCAAGATAAAGAGATCAGTAGCAAAGGTATTATCTTCTGAAAGAAACAATTCTTTAAAGCAAATAACATCCAGTCAAGAGACAGGGCATTTGCTGCCTTGTCTTCCCCTCTCATTCTCAGAAATATTGCTTTATGTTAGACAAGCCTGACAACAGCCTGACCTATTGCATTTGTCAGCGTTGGAGAACTCCTCTGTTAAAGGCATAGGTGAAATGTAGCTGTTACACAAAAAAGGACATTCCTCTGATTTCATTTCCCAGATTCTTGTTGCTCTTTGCACATAATGGTATCCTGCCTGTTAATATCTCAGTGAGTGTAGATGGGGGAAAAATGTGTTCTGAACAGTTGCTGTTGGCAAAACAGAATTGTTCATCGTGCATTGATTTGATTTGCAGAAAGGGCTTGTAGGCTGTGAAATCAAAGACATCTGACACTTCCCATCTTTTTATATTTAAAACAGAGTTCCACGTGCCTGATCTGTCAGGCAGCCATGTGTACACATGTGCACATGTTCAAAAATATACACTCTGTTGTCACTTGAGCAACACTTTTAGATAGCTTCGGTAATTTAAAACAACCAAAATTCAAAAAAAAAATCTCAAAGATGTATGTCATGTTTTGTCTTTTTTAATTATTATTTATTTTTCCAGCCTTGTTTCAGTGAACAGAAGAAAACTAGTAATCTTGAGGCTTATGTGAAATGGTTCAATAGACTCTGCTATCTTGTAGCAACAGAAATTTGCATGGTAAGTCAGATCCTGTTATACTGATGGCATGATTATGATATTTTGAAAGCATATTTTGAAAGGTTTTTTCTTCTCTCATTAAAAATAATTGTTTGAGCGAGTTTATCTTTTTTTAAATGAATAAAAGCTTTAAGTTTGCATGCATTTCACAGAAATTTTGCAGTAAATCTCAAGCGAAGAGCAGGCTATCGATGCAGTGGCAAAGCAATCATTTTGGTATAGTGGAGGGGGGCGGGCGGAATGATTAAGAGGCCAGGGATCAAATTTAGCCATTGAGTGACATTCCTGCAGCTCACACTCCACAAAGAAGGTTAGCCCAAGGCAAAGAAAGGAACAGATCTAGGTCAAAAATTAAATTTGATTTTAAGGTTAAATTTATTTAAAATATAAATCCAACCTATATGATTACTCATGTGTTATTATTATTACTGTTAATATTATTTAAATTTAGATGCTGCCCAACTCTCAGTGACCATGGGTGGTTACAAATAAAAAACATTAAAAAACAAGAAAAAAATGCAGTGATAGACAACAATGAAGAGTGAAAATGGGAAGGATGAGAGAAAAATGGACAGAAACAAGAGAAGCTCACAAAGTCCAAACAAGGGTTCACACTCACACTTGCCAAAGGCCTGGGTGAAAAACCAGATTTTCAAGGCCCTTCAAAACATCAGCAGGGTGAATTCAGGGAGAAGCTCATTCTAGAGAGCAGAATTTTTCTCTATTATCTTTTAGTGAAGTTGGGGGGATGTCTGAGATGTTTTCAGCCCCTTTCCCACTAATCTGGGTTTCTGCAATCTTTATCTGCTGGTTGCCTTAATATTAGATCTTCCTTCCCTTCATCGAGGTCATCCTTTTTGCTCTCTGTAGAAGGTACACTTCCAGGAGCCCAATAGATGGCATTGTTTAATTGACAATCAAATTGACCAGGCAGATACTATGGGAGAGAGACAGTCCTTAAGTAGGTGAGGCCTAGGCCATGTGAGGCTTTATAAGGTAACAACCAGCACCTTGAATGGCACCCTGAAGCAGGCTAGCAACCAATGCATAAGTGTTACATGGGCATACCAGAGCATGCTGAGTACCATCCACATTGTTACATTCTGGACCAGCTGAAACTTCCGTGTGTCTTCAAGGGCAGCTCCCCGTACAGCATATTGCAGTAGTCAAGCCACGAGGTAAATAGGACATGAGTAACTATCTGAAAAGTCCCTGGTCTAGAAAAGTGAACAATTGACATATCAGATGAAGATATGGAAAGCTGCCATCCGCTCATTGAACAGGAGCTCCTGTTCATTAATGGTGAAATAGAACCCCATATAACACGTACATTGGAGAAAAAATGAACTTATTTGTGGTCTGCAGAACTAAGGCAGACATTGAGGATGCCTTTACTGTCTTTATCTATTTAATTCAAGCCTGTTAAAAATTATAATAGCTGTCATTGCACTAGTAATTTGCTAGACAGAATATTTCTGGAATTAATTGTCTTTTGCATGCACATTTGTCAGATCAGTGGTGAAGATTTTTTTTTTTAAAAGGTATACTAGGCTTTTGTCACTGTCTAATGAGAATTTTGATTCCTATAGCTGCCAGGAGTGAGTGCCAATAATCAAAATGATTGGATGAGATTATCCAACATGCTAAACTGTTGGATTGAGCAGTAAAAATAGGGCATTTCCTATTTATGGCGTGATGACATTTCAATCATTTTTTACATTTGCTTGTTTATTTACAGCCTGCCAAAAAGAAACAGAGGGCACAAGTCATCGAATTCTTCATTGATGTCGCTCGGGAGTGCTTTAATATAGGGAACTTTAATTCACTGATGGCAATCATCTGTAAGTGTGCCAATGTCATTTCTGTATGACTTTAAGGATATTCAACAATTATTCTGTGTATTAAAGTTCTCCTCCATTGGTCATCTTCTTTCCCTCCAGCTGGGATGAACATGAGTCCAGTATCCAGGCTAAAGAAGACCTGGTCAAAAGTGAAAACAGCCAAGTTTTTTATTCTTGAGGTAATATGTTGAGAATTGCACATTTGTTGAGACTTGAATGTTCATAACCAAGGTTCATGTGATTAAATGGAATTTTCATACCGTGTTCAGATTCTTGACACAGAAATTCCAGAATGGAAAAGTTCTCATAGAAGAGTAAATTCATTTCAATTCAGATACAGCCACAAAATAAAGGAGGAACAAGCCACCAAACAAAATTAGGAAGCATTCTACATGCATCCTTGGGAATTTATTCCATAAAAACATTATAGACTTAAGGAGAGAGAATAAAAGGAGATAACAGAAAGTGACTGACCTGCAAGGGGGGGGGATCAAGTCATCTTCTCAGTTCACCTGTGGCATTTAGTCTTTATATCAAGTTGTAAAACTCTGTGATGGAAAGATAATACCAGCCTTTATCTGACTCGAGAATTTACACATGGGCCTTCTCTCTTCACATCCCACCCCCTCTATTTCAGCACCAGATGGATCCTACTGGCAATTTTTACAACTACAGGACTGCCTTAAGGGGAGCTGCTCATCGGTCCCTAACAGCACACAGCAACAGGGAAAAGGTAACTATTCTTATCATAACTATAAACATTTTACATGCCACCTCCAGTAGTTTACCCTCGCCCTGTGAAGGGAGTGAGGCTGAAAAACAGCTGCTTGTGATAAAACATGGGCTTCTACTTGGATGCGTCCAATTTTAGTCTTGCATTCTAACTACCACATAATAGTGGGATTTTATCGAGAGTGGGAGTTACAATACCACACGCTCATGAAATCCTTTCTTCTCTTAAGTCTTCAGTTATTTCACAAGCCCTTTTCACACATTGTATACAGAATCATGATAAAATTGACACCAGGGTCATATAGTTAGGTCTGCCTCCAAGTTCTGCCATTCCTTCCACTCCTGTTACCAGAGGGATTTTTGCACTTACTATTTAGAACTGATGATGAAAATAGCAAGGACAGAAAGGTTGGTGCAGTGTGAGTGTTCCTGCTCACTTCGATCCTTCCTACCTTTGCCTTCTAACTGGAAGTCGGTCAGCATTCTGCTTTAGTATGTGCAGATGTTCATTCTCTCTGCCTTACTGAAGATATGTCATCAGTCTTTCATGTATATTATTCTAATTATTCCCCTCATTTCAGCCCTGAGCTACAAATATTCTTTATTTAAAAGATTCTTTGCAATATGCTGTATATTCTCCATGTTAGTGCCTCTCCACTACTTTCCTGTACATTTATATAACTGAGAAAATGAATGTTTGCTCAATGTCTAGGGAGATTCTCAATCATCCAGGTCATGGTTGTCCCAACGGTGCTTTTTCCAAAAGGCAATGGGACTTTCTCGGTTTTTCCCTTTGAACGTGTTTCACTTCTTATCTGAACTGAAGAAGCTTCTTGGATGACAAATGAAATGTTTTCAGATGAAAAAGCCAAGAAAGTCCAATTGCCTTTTGGAAAAAGCACCTTTGGGAAAGTGTGCTAAGTGTATTTCAGAAAACATAAAACATAGATAGTGGTGATTGAAAGATTTGAGAAAGACACTAGTGCATAATAATAATAATAATATAACAACAATAATATAACAACAACAACAACAACAACAACAATAATAATAATAATAATAATAATAATAATAATAATAATAATAATAATAATAATAGTAATAAAGTTGGAAGGGACCTTGGAGGTCTTCTAGTCTAATCCCCTGCTCAGGCAGGAAACCCTATACCATTTCAGACAAGTGGCTGTCAAGTCTCTTCTTAAAAACTTCCAGTGTTGGAGCATTTACTGCTTCTGCAGGTTCTTCCATTGATTAATTGTTCTGTCAGGAAGTTTCTCCTTAGTTCTAGGTTGCTTCTCTCTTTGATCAGTTTCCATCTATTGTTTCTTGTCCTGCCTTCGGGTGCTTTGGAGAATAGCTTGACTCCCTCTTTGTGGCAACCCCTGAGATATTGGAACACTGCTATCATGTCACCCCTAACATGCTGTCTAGATTGATCAGTACTGAGATCAGGCAGTTTCACATGAACAATTCCTATACACAGGATATCTTAGGGACAATTAAAGGAAGCTGAAATAAATTGTATGTTTGTCGTGTGTGTGTGTGTGTGCGTGCACGAGTATACTTTCAAGTCAATGTTGAGTCCTGGCAGCTACTTGGATAAGTTCCTGCAGTTCTCTTTGTAAAAGTTTGGGAGTGCTTTGTCATTGCCTGCTTCCTAGGACTGACAGAGAATGACTGGCCCAGAGTCACCCAGCTAGCTTTGTTTTAAGGTAGGATTTGAATTCACAGTCTCCCAGTTTCTAGTCTGGTACCTTAACACTACACCAAACTGGCTATGTTTTATTTAGAGACATTGAATGTGTAAAACATTTCTCCTTCCATTAAGAAAAGCTCTGAAGATGTCAAACATGTAGAATTACAAGACTGTCATATAACTAAAACCAGCACTGCTTGTTCCTTTGTGATTATCCCAAGCATGCCATTTTGGGCTAGTGGTTAAGGCACCAGGATAGAAACCAGGAGATTGTGCCTTAACCTTGAAAGCCAGATGGGTGACCTTGGGCCACTCTCTCTCTTTTAGCCCAACTCACCTCACAGGGTTGTTGTTGTAAGAAAAATAGGAGGAGGAAGGAGTATTAGGTATGTTTGCCGCCTTGAATTATTTATAAAAATAATAAGGATGAGATAAAAATAAATATCTTGCCAAGAAAACTGTGTTCATGTATACCTTTATGTGAGGATTTATTTAAAGTTTTGCTAAGGAGCTACCACTAAACCATAATAGGTAGGTTCAGGTATCATTCTAAGTAAAAATGAATTAAGTTGTATGATTACTTAATACTATGTGTGAATCAGGTATATAGCTTCCAACATCCCTCATCATTCAACATGCTACAATGGGAGGATGAAATTTGGAAACTAATAACATCTGTGAGCAGATATTTTTACCCCTTTCTAAAATGTTATTACATCTTAGAAGAATGCAGTAGACAATATCTGTATCCGTGCTGTGAAAAACATTATAAAATGTTATGATTACTTATTTAAGGGCAATCTTATTCATTGCTGATCCTGTAGCCAAATTCCATTCTTGTTCTTTTGAAGGATGTGTATAAAATAGGGTGCTTAGATTTGTTGGTTTGTTTGTTTATCAAAGAACAAAGAAAACATAATATTTTTTCTGCATTTCTTAAGTTAGGCAGTGACTAATTAAAAAAAAAAACCTGTTAAAAATTGTCAGAGTAGACGCTTGGAGTTGTGAACTGCCAGAAGCAAGATCTGTATGGACAAAGATAAAGAGAGTGTAAGAGACAATCTGCTATTTGAATGGAAACATATATATCATGAAGTGAATTATTTTAGGCAAATGAAAGAGATGAATATCTTAACACTTTAACTGACAAGCTTATTTGCCTTGCAAATCTTCAACACATTCAAGCATGTGCCATTCACATCCATTGCATTCTGAAGGAGCGTTATCAATTCATCAACTCCTGGTGAATTTAATTTGGGACACCGAGAATAAAGGAAGCTAAATGGAAAAACCAAAATGATGTCATAGAATCTTGGCTATCAATGTTTTTTGGAGGTTGGCATCCATCCCTTTACAGTTCTACTATTTATATCAACATACATTTGATGTGAGTCAGTTAAAAAGCAGTAGGAATTTATAGAACCAGTGTATGAAAAAAAGAAGTAATAAAGGGCAGCATGGAGATAGATGAACTCAGTGTGACAGAAATAAAATCCAAACTGCTCTCAATTAAAAATGGTTGTATTAGCATATTGAAAACAGAGAGAATTAGCAACATTTTTCAGAGAAACTAATTAAGGGTAAATAGCTAGAGCAGCTTGTGTGGGATGATCCAGTTACCCTGGGCACACAGATACAAGAGACTTCATTGAAAATGTAATTTGATGTTTGGGAAAATCAAACATTTGAGATTTATATTTTCAGTCAGCGAAAACATAATCTTGAGCATTATTTCAGTCCTCTGAAGTCATCAGTCAATCAACAGACAAAAAGAAGGAAAGTGAAAGGAAATGAAAGCACCAAAATAAGGTGCCATAAAAAGGGATTGGTGGAGTATGAACATTATGCCTCTCAGAGTTTTATAAAACAAGGAATCTATTCTTTCCTGCTGCTGGAAAAAAAATCTATCTTATCTCACATGATTTTAGAGTCACAAAAAGGTCACGATGGATGGATGGGCTCATGCAGGGAACAGCAGTCCAGTAGATATTTTGGTCTTGAACCTTGTAGCTCTGAAGGTTAAGATCAACAATCGGAACTGAATTCAAAAACTTACTGAGTCCATGGAGAGTTGTTGGTCGTCTTATTGGGAGCTGATGGATATAAATTAATGTAACTTTTGGTAAATAAAGGATCCAACATCAGTGTATAATGCAGTCATTGTAGGGTTTAGCCTTTTGTGCTTCCTACATACTTTCTTCCTACTCTCTAAAAACCTCTTTAACCCAGATGGATAGAAATGGCGCACCAGCAAATTTTCACATCTGCTTCTCTGATGTTAAAACAGAAAACAGGAAGGTCATCTTCCACAATATTTCATTATGCATTTCCACCACAGTTTTGCTCCACCAGAGTCAACTTTGAAATCTGTTTATCTCCCAATATTTTAGGGAGCTAAGTCAGCCTTCTGTGGTGTGAAATTTCCATTAGACACTCCATGAACTCTGCTTCAGGATAATATTTGCATTGGCCAGTAGGCACAGAGGCTACACACAGAGCATAATCTCTAAAAAGGTCCAAAAGATTATCAGTGGAATTTTCTTGTAGCTTTTTCAGGAGCTTTAACTTTTATACAGGACTTCATTGCAGCTAATTGTTACCCATGCAGTAATTAGCAAGTGTATAAATATAGAATGGATACTTGTGTCCTGTTATTGCTCTGCAGTTTGTGATAACATATTTCATTTTCTCTTTTACAGTATTTTAGGGTCAAACTTTTACTAGCAAGAATATAATTGGAAGAGAAACAATGTGATTTATTTATTATGTTCATCCCAAAGAAGGCAAATTGCTTTTCTTCTTTTTCAGAATCAAAGTAGAGAAAGAATTATAAGAAACTTGAAGATGTATCTGAATGAGTGACTTATTTATTATGGATTCTGGAGATTTGATTGACAGCATTCCAGTTTTTTTTCACCAGTGATTGAAATTGTGATAAAACAGACTTGGGAGAAGAACATAATGCTTTCAGTCTCTCAATTTCAAGTGTAGCTAATTTCATTGCAGGACAGTATGAATGATTTCTTCCTCTTCCCTAGCATAGATAGGAAAACCATTTGCCCGATCATTTGATCTCTGATCTCAGATTTTCATATTAAACAAATGTAAGACTCCCCCACCCTCTTCTCTTATTCCTTTCCTAATCTTCAGCATATTTCATCAGACTAAGCTGACAAATATTGCTACTGATTGTATGTGTGTACAGACACACAACCACACATACAGTATATAAAATTGTATTTTCTAAGGTGCTAGATTAGAAGTCAAGGGACTGCAAGCTCTAATCTTCCTAAAGTCACAGAAGCCAGCTGGGTGACTTTCAGACATTCGTGAACCAACTCACCTCACAGGGTTATTGTTGGGAAAATAGGAGGAGGGAACATTATGTACACTGTCTTAATTTGCACAAGATAAGCAGACATAAATCTAATGATGGATGGATGGATAGGAGGGAGGGAGGGAGGGAGGGAGGAAGGAAGGAAGGAAGGAAGGAAGGAAGGAAGGAAGGAAGGAAGGAAGGAAGGAAGGAAGGAAGGAAGGAAGGAAGGAAGGAAGGAAGGAAGGAAGCTTTATTAATAATACCTCTTCCGGATAATCTTCTATGAAAATAGCCTTTTCTGTGCCATAATGAATAGCCTAGTATTCAAAATGCACTGGGTGTTGGACTGCATCTTTATACTCCTTTGCACTGATTTCTACATGAGTTTATCCACTCAAAATTATGCAGAGGAGTTATAGTTAGAGGAGCTCCAAATTTAAGATGAAATGATACATGTAGAGGATAATATAATATAACCCAAGTAAACCCATGTTGTTTCACTTGATTTCATTGGTGTTGATCCATGACAAAATCAAGCCCCGTATAAAACACATTTTATCCATGGGTGCCAGTGTTGTAACAAAAACGAACATATTTTATTCATATGATTGGAATTTCTGCTGTGTGCATCATAGGCTTTTGTGACAAATATCTATCCCATATGTTTGCTAAGGGGGATTAATTGTAAATGTTTACTTGGCTTTGTAGATCTCTCTGCAAATTGTTGATATTCACTAAAGTCACATTAAATCTTTCCTTTGCATAAAATGATCTTATTTACCTATAAATACTATCCTATTAAACAATAATACTTAATCAGTCAAACACCTGTAATGTATTTAGTCTTTGTGGAATTATTATACCTGTGTTTGTGTCCATTGCCTTTGTGTGTGCAGAGAAGATTAGTTCTGCCCTGCAGATATTTTATGGAACCACTAGGCCTAACTCACATTACTGTTTGTTCATTAGAATTGAAAAGTTAATCTCTTTACTTTGTATGAATGAACTGTTTTTTTGTGCATCAATAATAGAACGGTGGAGACAATTGTTATGCCATTCTCTTCACAGATTGTAATCCCCTTCTTCAGCCTTCTGATCAAAGATATTTATTTTTTGAACGAGGGATGTGCAAACCGCCTTCCAAATGGGCATGTCAACTTTGAAGTAAGCACAGCAAGTATTATTTATCGCAGCAAATGTTTTCTGAGTCATGGTGCTTTTGTTTCCTGGTAAAGAAACAAAAGCAGTTGTTATATAAAAAGAGATCTTTGCAACCTTATTTCAAGATTTTTTTTTCAAAGCACAAATGCATTGCATATGCGCAAGGCCTACACTCTGAGAGTTAGCTACACAACAGGATTTTCTCAGACCCTTTTTCTACCTTTAAAAAATATCCCCTAAAGATCAAGGGAACCTGTTCATGTGATAGAAGAGAATGTAGTCAGAGGCAGAAACATTGATTTACATTACCTACAAAAATATATTTTGCTCCTTATAGGGCTCTTTAGCTCCCCCCTCTTCTCCGCAGCTGTTTCCTGCTCTGGTTATCAGACAGGGCCTGATTTCTTCCAGTAAAAATTTGCAGGGAAGAATCACAGCAAATTATACCTTCCATCTTATTGCTTAAGAAAATGAGGTATTTGGGAGAGGATTATGAGGTGGAAAACAGCAGTAGCTGCCCTGCAGAGCAGTTGGGATGGAAATTAGCTGCTGTGGCAATTTGCAGAGTTGGGAACATCCCCCCCCCCAAAAAAAACCCCAGGGGCAGAGATTTAAGGGACAATCTTGTTTGCAGAAGTCACTTGAGAACAATACATGTAATTGACAGTTTGTGCTCCTGCATATGTTATACCTATAGAATATAAGTATTTAATTTTTAAATAATATTTTACAAGTTCAAACTGAACGAAGCATCCCTAGAATAAAGCTTTGCATCAGTATTCACTACCAAAACTACTCTAAATTCCAAGGATTGTGTTAAAACAATAGGCCTAATCAGGTTAAAAATGTCAGATGAATTTATTATTCTTTGCTTCATGATTATGTATTAACACCAATGACTATTTAAGAATAATTAATCTGTCTAATTAATATGTATGATAAATGATTATTCAAATAGGACTATTTGTGGTGAATTTCAGTTATTGTTATTGTTTATGTTTTTTATATTGATGACTGAACTTTCATATATACGTTTATAACGCTCATATTTATTGTGCATTTACTTAGTCTTTACTAAGAATTTAGGCATTACTGTCAAGTAAGAGGTAATAGTAAAGAAATTAAAGAAGGGTTCTATTTGGAATTAATGTATTGTTATAATTATGTCAGTCCTTAGCTATATGGATATGTTGTAGAAGAACTTAATCTTAATTGGTGAGATGCCTAATTTTAGAAGGCTGCCAAAATAGTCTCACAGCAAATTTATGTAAAGAACAAAACCTGTTGAATTCCAAATCAGAGAATTTCATTAAAACTGCAAATTAATGTATTTTATCCCATATTACAGAAATATAGAAAAGCTTCTGGGAGGATCACATACTCCCATTTTTTTCAGACGTTATCAGATTAAGATTGGAGTATTCTGAAGCCGCAGTCATAATTTTACTGGAATATTATTTTCTTTGATCTAAACATCTCTTTTTAAAATTGATACAGAAATTCTTGGAACTGGCTAAACAAGTGGGAGAATTCATAACATGGAAACAAGTTGAATGTCCATTTGAACGTGATGATAACATAATCCACTATTTACATACCGCCCCTATATTTAGCGAAGATGGTAAGAACACCCTGATTTCATGAATTTGCTATTTGCTACTGACATTATTCTGTATGATTGACTAAAAATATGTTTTTGAGAATGTGCTCTTGTAGAAATCAACATTGTCTACAATTGGTAGGGATTAGGGTGATTATGGAGGACATCTTTTTATAGTCAATCATTCCACAAAGCAATAGACCTGATGGCCTTACTGTGCTAGTGTTGCACAATATGCAAACAAATCTATTGTTTTGCAAATCATGTTTGTGATGGCTTCAGGCACAGAAATTAGAGGCCAACTCCCAGCAAAGGAAGATTTACTTTTTGTGCTATGCTTGGAAAAAAAAACACCTAAAGTTATTTTGGATGCAGTTAATCATGCCCATTTGTTATGGAGCTTTTGTCTGATTTTTTTTCCTATCCACTTGATAGATCATGTTACTCTGTGTCCTTTCATAATAAATTAATTCAGTCATATCCAATTATCCTCATGTCAGAGATGAGGCTGGATGAATTAACTCTGCCTACAGGCTTTTATAGACTTTGGGTGTGTTTCTGACCTTTGCACTTTTAAACAAAAGTCCTTAAAACTCATTCACAAAAATTATGTGAAACATTTGGGATATTATTGGTTATAGATAAGTTCAGAATACAGCAAGGAAAAAAAATCATTTGAGACCCATAAGAACCCATCAGAACTTAAATGAACAAATGAAATAATTACACCTGGTCCTGTAAAAGAGAAAGATTCAGATTATTCTGAAAGTTTTTGCATTCTGGAGTGACAAAGGGCACTTCAGCAGATGGGCCAGTCATTTTATGCATTGAGTTTTGGGTCTGATAAAGTGGAACTTTTGGACAGGCACGGAAATACAGGTATTTTTTGGGGGGGGGGGGTTCCAAAATCTGAAAGGCTATGAAGCAATAAATGTACTAGTTCTGTTTTAATGTAAGGGAAGATGCTAATGTAGTTGTTTCTGCCTAGTAAGTAAGCCGTTATTGGGTAGAATGGGTAGAATGAGGACGAGGGGGGACACGATAGCAGTGTTCCAATATCTCAGGGGCTGCCACAAAGAAGAGGGAGTCAAGCTATTCTCCAAGGTGCCTGAAGGCAGGACAAGAAGCAACGGATGGAAACTAATCAAGGAGAGAAGCAACCTAGAACTAAGGAGAAACTTCCTGACAGTTAGAACAATTAACCAGTGGAACAACCTGCCTCCAGAAGCGGTGAATGCTCTAACACTGGAAGTTTTTAAGAAGAGACTGGACAGCTATGTGTCCGAAATGGTATAGGGTTTCCTGCCTGAGCAGGGGGTTGGACTCGATGACCTCCAAGGTCCCTTCCAACTTTTTCATCATCATCATCATCATCATCATCATCATCATCATCATCATCATCATCATCATCATTATTATTATTATTATTATTTATTAATAATAATAATATGGAAAGAAGCAAATTTTGATGCAACCTTACAGAGAGATCTTAATGCATTTATAATCACTGTTAAGATTGGAAGCCACTGCTTTAAAACCTTTCCCTTTTTTTACTTCTCTCTTTTTATTTCTTCTTCACCTGCTTGTTTTTCTTTATTTTTATTTTAGCTTAAAATTTGTACTGTTTTAATTCTGTTGAAAACCTCATTAATAAAAATTATATATGTATGTACGTTACAAGGCCTTAACTCAGGGGTCTTCAAACTTGGCCCTTTTATGACTTGTGGACTTCGACTCCCAGAATTCCTCAGCCAGCGTTCTGGGAGTTGAACTCCACAAGTCATAAAAGGGCCAAGTTTGAAGACCCCTGCCTTAACTGGTGTAATGGTATATAGAAAAGACCTGGAGAGACAGGACCAAAGAGATATTGCTTTGGGAACAGTCATATAAAAGACTGCACAGACCTCAGCTGCATAGTAGGGGATGCTCAGCAGGGACCATCCCTGGGTTTTCAGACTATACAGGTGACTCTGGGAAAATTTTACTTTCAAACTTGCACAATTGATGTCAGCCTTGCCAGGTGGACCAGAGAGGAAGTATGACCAGATAAACTAATTCTGTTTTATTGTAAAGCTACGTTAACAATATCTTTAGAACAGAATACATTAAGAGAATTCAGAAGGATTTGTGAACAAGAAAGTTGGCCTGGCTGCACAGATTGTTTCCTTACTTTTAATGCGTTTTATGTTTTGTTTTGTGAGACTGTTAATCTTTTAGCTGCTACTAGTAATTCAGTAATGGATTTGTATTCTTTCTCATCCCAATCCCATTTTCTTAGGTTTGTATTTGGCTTCCTATGAAAGTGAAAGTCCAGAAAACCAAACAGAAAAAGAGAGATGGAAAAATCTAAGGTATTTACACTTTTAATCCAAGCTAAAATTTCTTATTGGTGTAGAAAAGATGGATAACATACTGAAAAGGTTATCTTCTCTCTACCCATAAATAACTACACACTTGGCTAGAAATAAAAGGCTACGATAGGAACTAAAAGATCTTTGCGCACAAGCAAATGTAATGATTGCATGATTTATTGCAATCTTTGTTCATTGTTATTTTTATTGCTATCTTTCTTCATAACACATGCCTAAACATACCTACTAAGTATGGTAAGAGTCATTTTGGACACATAAATGAGGCCCATGGATGAGGCAGGGTGGAAATTTTAATTTTTCTGGAGAAAGACTGAGGTTTTCTTTGACTTTTTCTTTGCTTATCCTTTTTATAGCCTAGACTTTTCATGTATTTTCCACTTCAAAATGTTAGGTGTCTGAGCTACTAGTTTTCTTTGATCATAAGAACAATAACTGGAGGTCCAGTTAGAACAGGGGTGTCAAACTGCCGGCCCACAGGCCGGATGCATCACGCAGAAGCCGCGCCCACCTCAGCTCCGGCAAGGGGAAAAAAGTCACAATACATCGTGACACGTCATGTGATGCGGTGAGTTTAACACCCCTGAGTTAGAGCTACTACGATACAAAAAAAGGAAGCTTAAGGCCTATGTAGCTGGAGCAACAAATGGACTACTGGACAATGCTGTTTCCTCACTGAACCTCCTATTAAGAAGAGACATTTCCCATTACAAGCCAGAAGATAAAAAAAAAACCTATTATTGTTGGTTTATGAAATTAATGGTGGAAATTTGAGGGTCAGAATGGTGAATTAATTAAGGTGTTGAAATAAGGGGCTCTTGGTGCTCTCTGAACTTGGTTGTTTTCTTGCAGACATTTCATTACCCAAACTAGGTAGCCTCATTAGTAAGGATGATAATAAGGAATGGGGTTTGCTCTGAATTTATATTCTAGTGGCAACATCAAACCTCACTTCTTACTAGCACTGCTGATGTTACCTATTTGGATAATAAAATGTCTGCAAGAAAACAACCAGACTCAGAGAGCACCAAGGACTCTTCATTTCAATCCTGAGCTACAAATATTCTCCTTTATTGGTGTTGAAATGGGACCAGGAAAACTCCAGGACCACCCCTAACCATGGAAGCTCAGTAGGTGACATACTGTCAGGGCAACCCATATCACAAGGATTTTGGGGTGTGGAAAAAGTGGGGGAAGCAGTGCTATGTATGCCTCTTTGAGATTCTAGAGGGAAAGTATATTATAATATACAATCTGACAAGCAAGACGGGCAAGTATGAATAAAATAAAATTATTTAGTATGAGCAAAATAGCTATCGAAGGTACTTGAGAGATAAGATCAGAAGGTTATTTTACTTATTTATTGCTTTTGTAAGGCCATCTAAATTCCAAATTATTCCGGGTGTCATATTATATTAAAAACAGTTAAAATGATAAAGAAGAACAATAGGCATCCAGCAGCAGCAATAAAATCGTAATCCACATATTCTCAGAAGGGGCCCATCACATTCCCTAGCTCAGGACTTGAGGGAAAAAAAGGGGGGGGGATTAACGGAAAAAGCAGCATTTGAATTTTCAAAGCCCTAGATAACTACTGCTGCGGAGTTTTATTTATTTTCTTCTTAGAGACATTTATTTAATGGAGCAAGGGAACTGGGCATGCTGCAAAGCAGTGTCACATTCCTGGACCCTCATGAACCCAATAGTTATCCCAGGAAAAGCCTTTGCCAGCTGTTTTGTAAAAAAATATATCTTGAACTTGCCTTGTTATCTTCAAGCTGTATTTATTTATTTACTTATTTATTTATTTAAGAAAATTTATATGGCTGCCCAACTCACTCTCAATGCCTCCAGGCAGCTTACAAAGATGACCCATTTGATAATGTGTTAAGATAACATGATCAGAGAAAATAGTATAATAGAAAGTGAGTTTTTTTATACATAATTATTCTCAACTAATTGTTTGGTTTCATGACCTTGCAATGTAGTTACCCATTGTGATGAGAATGTACACTGATTGCTGTGATTCCTGCCTTGAATTGCTGTTTTCCTTTATAAATCTGGCATTGCCAGCACTTAGAAGAGTGAGGCCAAATTAATTCTAAATAACTTTATGCTGTATTTGTCCCCCCCCTTTTTTTTTACTGCTTTCATTTTTTTGTTTTGTAGGTCAACTATCTTAGGAAAGACTTGAAGACAAGAATCTATAAATATACCAGGACAAACTAACTCAGCAAAACTACTTTGCACTATGGATTCCAAAGATGCCTATTTGGGATTTAGAATATTTTATTCTTTATTTTTGTGTGCATTGGGGGGCTCTCTAATGTGATTAACTGGATTCATCAGAAAGACTCAAGTGAGTAGTCTTTTTACTGCACACAGTGTTGCTACAGCCAATATGGAACCCTATAGTGAAAAGCCAGTAGATGGTTTGATCTTGACTTTATCAGAACCAAGTCCTTATTGCTATTTAAACTTGACTTATTAAATGAACAAGAAAAAGCAAGAAAAGTCACAGTGCTGCAATCCAAAACAGTCTCCACGGAAGAGTACAGGGTTTGTAATCTCAGAAGCAGGGTGTATCTGATAGTAATTCAAAGAGAACTGCGAAAAGTAGATGTTGCCAATTACATTATGCTACTACATAGAGAAGGATTATTTTTCCTCCACAATCCTCAGCCTCAGTGAAGACTATTCAAACATCAGGAAATAAAAGACTAATAGAAAACCATATTAAAATGAATAACCCACATATGCTACTTTTTTAGTACTGAAAGTTTTGAGCTGGGAACATTTGCTATGTCTCCTTCAGTTTGGAGTCAGAATCATCTTTGATCTTCATGGTGATCTCCTAAGCTCTTCATATGACTTCTAGTGTGACCCTTATGATGTAAAGCATGTAGCATATTCTCTAGTTCTGTTGACTGTTGAAAGACAGTCTTCAAGGAATCTTGCATCATTAACAGAAAGAAAATCTGTTAAGGACCGCAACAGTTACTTTCACCTACTTATTTTCTCTTTATCAGAGAAAAGAAATATTTTAGAAAAGATAATCATGTGATAGTAGGGCTCTTATTTCTAGTGTGTCTTACAGTCTATGAATTGTTGCACTGAAATTATCAATACTACGTTCCCTTGTTTTATAGTTCCCTCTGTGTAGGTGATGGTCACTGCCTCCCAGCTATGGCATTCTTTTCTCAAATCCTGACTTCAAGATGCATTAGAGCTACAGATTTGGGAGGTACAGTGAAAGTTGAGTAATGGGGAACAATCAAACATTAATATGTCTGCCATAATGCTTAGTGGGAGGGCAAGCAATGGTTGCAAATTATACTCAAATAGTCTTTTTAAATTAATTATAAGTAATGGAGTGAAACAAATCCATTACTGCTTACTGTATAGAATTGCAGTAAAGCGCAAATCTTCATTTTAATAACTGGGACATTTTCATAATAAAATGGTACCAGAAAGACTCCTAATTCAGATTCTGATATTTGCAAGTAATATCCAGCACAGTGTGGGCTTGGTTTGAGAATTACAGGTATCGGATGCCACATATATAGATGAGACTCATACCAATGTACATATTTTATGCATCAGTTAAATGCATTACGTCATTCACCCAATTCCAACATCGATCACTTGCACAGTGACCAAGAAGTGGAATTTAGAGAGTTAACTCTTGCCTTCCATCGTATACAAGAGTTTAGCATTCTGGTCAAAGTCTCAACTAGCATTACATGAACAATAAAGCAGTCATTAGGCACTGGATAGGTTTGAATCTTAATTTAGATAGGCTTTTGCTTCTGAATATGTCTACAGTGAAATTCTATGACATTCCTTCTGGATTTTCTCACAAGGAGCCTTTTTGTTTCTTTGAGTAAAGCAATCTTAGCTTCTGGGATTTATTTGTACATGTCTTCTTGACAACCTATTTCTTTCCTCACATCTGTTCCAATGTGTGCTGGCACAAAAATGCTTCATGTCAGTCAAAGAATGATTTTTCATAAAAATATATATATGTTGATCTGACTACCTATTAGATGAGAGTTAGGTATGTGTGGCCTGTGACAGATTAAGAAAGAATTTTGTGCATGCACACATTCTTCCTCGGGCAACCAATCAGTGAATATATATATATATAAAGCTACTGTGTATGATCAATTCTAAACGTGTCAAATTCAACAGTTTCTGCACTGACTATGTCACAATGTAGTAGCTATTTCAGGTAGCTATTGCAAGAGAGCTACAGTATTTGAATTATCTAGATGTATTCAGATTGCTTCAGTAACAATCTCAGCATCTGAATAAGAGGCAAGATACATTTCTTTACACTCTTATTTGATAGCTCCTTCTATAGTAAATTTTGAAAAATGGAGGAATACTGCAAAAATATAGGGAGGTACATGTTTCAGATTTTAAACAGGAAAAAAAGAAAATCCAAGAAGCTGTAAGAAAGGTCAGTAAGATGAAACTAGAAAAGATAGGAAGACAGGTTAGAAATATGTCTAAAAATACTGCATGTAGAAAGAAACATAGAATGTCAAAAATAAATACAAAATTGTTTCTTTTGGATTGGGTTACTAGCTGAATAGATATTGAAAACAGTGCAAGAAATAATGTATCTTGGTTTCCGCAAAGATCTGATAACATTTTGTAGCAAAACGTCTTAATTGTGTTTTGCTGGCTATGACATTCATAAATGAATTCACAGTTGCAAAATATTTCGGTTCTTATCAATAATTCTTCATTAAATCAAAGAGTGAGATGCCATACTAGGAGAGGAGTATACTTTAACCATTGATCCATTACTTAGATGCAGAGAAATCTTATTTTCAGATGATCCAGAATATGAATAACTGTTACATGATACAGTAGCAGTAACACATTCAAAATGCCATTGATATAATGGAAGACTGAGCAATACAATATAAATTGCAGCACAACACAGTGCAAATATCTACCTTCAGGCATGCTCAGAACACTAATGCATGGTAGACAGCACCTGATTTAGCAGTGATACATGAGGTTTCCAGATGATAACAAAATGAAGAGTCACCAGTGTGAAAAAGCTGCAAAAAAGTGCCATGAATATTAATAGAATCATAATGTTTAGTGACAAGAATAAATACTTCTTCCTTATTTCGGACTAATCAGATTTGTCTGGTACTATTTCTGAATACTTTAAGAAAGATGAGACAAATTGGAAAAAGTTAAAGACGAGGGCAACAGTGATTAAAAATAACATGACTATAAAGGAAAATTAAAGGAACAATTAGCTTGGTAAAGACTGAGATGGGTACTTTCCAAATACCAGCCAGTCTAATGTAGAAAACAAGCCAATGCTGCTTCAGTTCTGCTCTGGAAGACAGGATTAATCTAATGGGCTTAAGTTAGGGAAGATGAATGTTGACTGAATGGTAGGAAGAAGATGAAAGAGCCATTTTATAATGGTTTAATGATAATTCACTGTTCTGCATGAGAAAATTTGCAAAGCAAATTGTAACTTAGAAGTGCAAAATGATTAATTAAGCCCCAAAACAATGATAATACAAATCTTAAAAACATAATAAACATAACAAAAAAGCTGGAGGGGGAGGCAATTTTCTGGCTGTCTTTGAACTAAGACCAGAAGCCCATCTGGAAGATATTCTCATGCAGGATTTCCTGCATCTACAAAGGGTTGAATTACTAAATATCCCACAGTTGATACTAATGGGATTATCCCATTAATAATAACCTGCTAAAAGATGACTTTCACTTAATAGACCAAGAGTTATTTAAAATACTGATATGTTTTCTTTTGCTGAAGAGAGCACAGCTTTTTCTCCTTAAATGCTACTAAATAAATCCAAGGATTATATGAATTCTCCTTTGTTTGAAAGTAACTCTTAACTGTAGCCAGATTTTAACAATTAATATATTTGACTTTTCTGAGATCATGGTGATCAAATGTATTTCTACTTATTAAAATAAGAGTGATAATGTATGTATTTTAAAATGAGGTTTCTCATAGCAGCTAGTATCAGTTGCAAATATTTAATTTCATTGTTTTTATTTGCAAACACTGCTTTGGCTGTGTGTAAGAAACAAAACAAATCTGTATTTCAGATCTATAATATGAATACATTATGCACATCCTTTCAGAAACATAAACACAATTTATTGAATGAATAGTTACATACTAAGTTTCACAGGAGGAAATTATTCCAAATAATTCACCTAGATTTCATCAGAAACTATTATAAATGGATTCAGCTCTGCATACTGAAAATTGCTAAGCTTATGAAAGAATCCTCAGTCTTCTGCAGAAACTGAGCCTCTGGTCTGACCTTATACAATGAGCAAGGCATTTTATACTGAATTATGGACATACTGAATGCATTTCTTTAAAAAACGCAGCCTGTCTAAGATTGAAAATGCAATTTGTTATTCATTTGATAGAAAAAGACAGCATTTCTTTCAGCTATAGTTCTGGAATCATTCACATCACTACAAAAAGTAGAATCTTGAGATGAATGTAATTACTTCAATTCCATTTAAAATGTTTCAGAATGAGACGATCAAAAACCTAAGCAACAGTCAAATACATTAGGATCAGTGTTGCTGTCACTAAAAGTATACTGAGAATCAATTATGGCAATGAGTAATTTTCATGAGCTGCCACTAGAATGGGAACAGTCTGCTTCTCAGAAGGTGACGAATGAACTGCACAATCAAAACAAGGCTTTCATTGATCTATTATTATAGTAGCTAATTTTAATAACTAGCAATCATACATGTAAAATACCTGATATTTTTAGATTTAAAACTTGATGTGATGCCAGTTTTCATTTAATAACCACTGAAGCCCACCTACGATAACCATATAGAGTGTGGTATGTGTAAATACCCAAAAATAATTGGTGTTATGGAAATGCCTGGCACTCTTGTTATCTCCTACCCTGCTTAAAAAGTTAGCTACTTGTCCTATTCAATTCTTCTATTCAATTCTTGAATGAAAATCCTACAAAGGAAGAGGGATGAATGGTATGCAGGTAGTTCTCGGCTTATAACCATTTGTTCAGTGACTGTTAGAAGTTACAGGGCACTGAATAAAGTGATTTATGACCGATTTTCACACCAAAATCCAGGCACCTGACAACTCTATTTCTGACAATTCCAGGGTTTTGTGACCTTGTAACCTTCCCA